ACTGGGGCAGTGCCCTCCCTGATAACAGACTGGGACATACATTTGTTGATCATGCTGGTGATATGTTTACATAAGGCCGTCCTACATGCTAGTGGAAAAATTGCAAATCTTCTTTTGGAAAGTAAGCTTGTATGAGCAATGCAAACAGCAACTTTTAAACAGGACGTTCACGAGGAGAAATGGGCTTGTCTCTCACACATGTTTAACAGGCTAGCCTCTCGGTAGCGGGTACAGGGTTGTGCATGTGCATTTCTTTTTTTAAGTGGAGAGGGTGATCAGCTCTGAGGAACACTCAGCAGGTAGAAAGTTGCATCACTGTGACAGTTCTTCAGAACATAAATGTAAAAAATAAAATCAAAAAATAGATTGTAAAATTACAATGTACAGACAAAAACTATTGTGATCACTTCTATATAAAAAGTTAGAAACAGTTTAATCGAAACATGTTGGACTCCAGCATGGATGCCCTCTGTTACTGGTCCTGTTCATAACCTTTTATGGACATATCTGTGAAGATTCTCAGTTATCCAGGTCATGGTCAAGCTTAAAAAGTTCAGTTTAGGCAACTGGACATGAAGTTTTCTAGAAGACGTTTCGTCTCTCATCCAAAAGAAAACTGTATATCCAGTAAACGTCATGCACAGTGTTTCTAACCATTGACAGGGGCAAGATGGGGTCTGGTTTGGGGAACAGCAGATCTTGTCCCTGTTTTTTGTCGATGACATGGTTCTACTTGCCCACTTCTGCCAAGAACAACAGAACGCACTGGGGCGGTTCATAGCTGAGTGTGAAGCGGCTGGGATGAAAATCAGCTCCTTCAAGTCAGAGGTCATGGTTCTGGTTCTTGACCAGAAAAAAGTGGCATGTCAGCAAACTCCTCTTGATATGGAGGAGAAACAGCTATACTCTGAACATCTCTGGATGGCTGAGCTCCCTACCCTATCCATAATGTATGGACTTAAGTGGTGTCACAACCAGTTCTGAGGAACACCCAGCAGGTAGAAAGTTGCATCACTTTGACAGTTCTTCAGAACATACATTTCAACTGTTAAAATTATAATGTACAGACAAAAACTAGTTGGATCACTTCATTAGAAATACTTTGGATCACTTCTATAGAAAAAGTTTGCTTCCATAACCTGCCTGTAGTGGAGAGAAGAACAATATATTGTTCTACCCCAGGGCCCTAAAGTATGTAACATGAAACAGAGAAACTGGGTTAAGGTAAAAGGAAGATCATGGAAAACATGATATATTTGTCTTTATTAGTTGTTTGATAACACCCGCAACTATAGTGAATATGGCTTTTGAAAAACGACAGACCCTCTGCCTTATGTACCATTTTCATGCTGTTTAGTGCTCTTTTCTATGGGTTTACATTCTGCTTTAGGCACATGTCAGTCAAAAGTTGCCATGGTTAATGGTATTATTTTCTAGGCTGTGAGCTGTCCTCTCTTGGTGAATGTTTTTATGGGTCTCATGCCTCCCTTCATAAAGAAGACATCACCAGTGGCAGCAGACCTGAACGGGCCACTGGGGCAGTGCCCTCCCTGATAACAGACGGGGACATACATTCGTTGACAGTGGCGAGGTACATCCTATAACAATAAAAGGATTTGAGAGAACAGAGCAGAGAACCAAGAATACTTTGTTTACTTGGACATTGGCAGTCAGAACATGGGGTTGACAAGGATAAACCAATCTGACCCAGAAAGTTTACAGCAGAAAATAAAGGAAAGAACCTATGTGGTGTCACAACCAGTTTTGAGGAACACCCAGCAGGTAGAAAGTTGCATCACTGTGACAGTTCTCTGAAACATAAATCTTAACCATTAAAATTAAAATGTACAGACAAACATCCCTTCTATAGAAATATTTTAGATTTTTTGATCCATCTATAGCAGAAGTTATAACTGTTTAAATTTAATTAATTTCTATAGAAACACGTTGGAGTCTCTGTTGCCCTCTCAAAGGTCCTGTTCATAACCTTTTATGGACATATCTGTGAATATTCTCAGTCATCCAGGTCATGGTCATGCTTGAAAAGTTCAGTTTAGGCAACTGGACATGAAGTTTTCTAGAAGACGTTTCGTCTCTCATCCAAAAGAAAACTGTACGTCCAGTAACCTTTATGCACAGTGTTTCTGGGCATAGACAGGGGCCAGACGAGGTCTGGTTTGGGGAACAGCAGATCTAGACCCTATTCTTTGCAGATGACGTGGTTTTGCTTGCCCACTTCTAACAAGACCTACAGAACGCACTTGGGCGGCTCAAAGCTGAGTGTGAAAGCGGCTGGGATGAGAATCAGCTCCTCCAAGTCAGAGGTAATGGTTCTGGTTTTTGACCAGATAAAGGTGGCATGTCCCCTTCAGCTTGGAGGACATTTCTTGCCTCAAGTGGAGGAGTGCAAGTGTCTTAGGGTCTGCTTATAAGTGAGGAGAGAATGGAGCTTGGGATGGATAAATTGATTTGTGTGGCTGCTGTACCAGTCTGTCATGGGGAAGAGAGGAAACAAATGGAGCCATATATTGAAACTTAGCCCAAAAAAAACAAATGATCGTTTTATGATAAGATAAAGAGATTTTAGTTCTTCTGTGTTAGTAGAAGATTTCATAAAACCAAAATGCTTTATATTCATAAGCTGTGTGCAGGTGATGCTGGTGTTTTCTCCTCCTTCTCCTCAGGGTGTGGCCAACAAAGGCAGGCTTTGGAGCCGTTGATGGAGGAGTATAAACAGGAGTTGACTCTCTAAGACAGACACCAGTTTGGCTTCACTTGACTGGTAATCAGGTTTGAGTTGCTTGGTGTGTTTTTTGTTCCTCAGGGTTGTGTTTCTTACCTCTTTTGCTTTCTTCCCAGGATTCAGGATTCTTTATTTCTGGACTCCAGTGATCTGCCTCCTTACATAACCTTCCTGGATAGTTTCTGCATCTCTTCGAAATCAGATCATCTCCTTATCCAGTAAGCTATGGTCTATCACATTAGGCACTGATCATTTTAGTCATTGTTTTGTGGTTTTAACTATCTCATTGACTTAATTGTGCTGCCGCAGATTGCAGAGCTGATTCAGTTTTATTACCGTAGAATAATCCGAGCTCCAGCCTGATCTGCTCCTTGAGAATGAAGCTGTTTTCTAATGCGCTCCACTTTCAACACAGACTC